GCGAATGTTAATGAAATTTGGCAGATTATCAGTAAACAGTACAATGCTTTCATACACAAAATTTCAAATTTGTTATTAAGTCTTAACGTTTGTAAAGCAATGTTTTTCTCATGTCTTTTGTTTTGCGTGTTGCCTATCTATCATGCAAAATAATTTTCATTTTAAGATTAAAAACACTTTTATGCATCAGAAAATTTTCAAATTTCACATGCAAAATCTTTATAATGTCCAGATAGTTATCAAACATTTCTTAAGAAAAAACTTTTTTTATCTGTTATTTTCAGTAATTAATTTCCATACGGGTTCAGTAGATTTGCTCGCTCTTGTAACCACCATAGAAAATTATGAAATAAATATAAATTATGCCTCTCATTCTAGAATGAACACAAATTATAACAAGAAAACATAAATGTTTAGACTAAATAACTTAAATCTCATAACATTATACATTTATATATATTTATTATTTTTATTATATTGACCTTTCAGCTGTAACTTGCTAACAATAAAGAAGTTACAATAACATGGCACACGTACACTCATGTTACCGTATCCAATAACATATGCATTCAACATACCACGTGACACACAAAAATCGATGTTTATCTGTTTTTTTAATATTTGCCTTTAAATTAAGAAATTGAGTAGTATAAGTACTAAAATAAAGTACTAAAGTTATAATCTACAGTTTGATACCAAAGTTATTGACATAAATTCAAGAAATGTAGTTCAATAAAATTTTTGAATGCGAGTCAACAAACGAGATGACATGGCCTTTCACCCATGACCCATCTCAAAAGGGTTAAGAGCTCTTATACAAGAAACTGAGTAACTAAAGTATATTGTTATTTCAGACAATCAAGGTCCACAAAACACATATATATTTCATTACCATCTGAAGATGTTCCAAGAATTTTTTTCCCATCCTAAACAGTTGTAAATTTTTTCTTAGTTTAAGATCAGCCACAATTATTTGGAAAGTCAAAGCTGTGTTGCTATGCGACAGTTTGAAGTTTAATGGCATGCTTATAAACAATAGAAAGAGCAAATTTCCATTTAGTTAGACATTGGCAATATATGCATTTCTAAATATCATGATGAAAGAAGCATAGTCCCTAGCATTTGGCTATACTTTCTCGCCTTATACATATAAGTTTGATAGACAGTTAGATTGTATTTAGATTTTACTTTTATATTCTAATTAATTATGTATTACATATGTTTCAAAATGCATATTGGAAAGGTTTAATGATTTTTATGAGTTTAACTTGTTCTCGCCTGGAGTAGGCATGAACGAGCACCATTTTGTTTATCCACTCCATGTGTGCCCAGAGTCGGCAGAAAATTATGTTTATAAAGGTCCATGTGCATAAGTGATGTATCAGCAGAAATAATAAAAGATGAAGAACTTGAAAGGAAAATTAAAAATAAACTAAGTGAAAAGAAAAGATGTAAAATTACACATAGGAGACCAAGAAGACTATTCGAGTGAATTTCTATGAAGAGTTGAAAGTACGTACATATTTCCATTTATTAATTTAAACATTTCATTGCACTGTATGTTCATTACAACAGATAGAGTTAGTTATATACTAGAGAAAATGGAAAATAAAATATAAAAATTTACCTTAAAAAAGCTTTTGATATTCATTTATGAGGTTCTAGAAATTATGCAAATGAAATGTGAAAGTGCAAGATAAAAAATAGTATTTTTATACTTCATATAATATATAATAGGCTATCTGTGTTCTGCCCACCACGGGTATTGTAACCCTGATTCTAGCATTGTAAATCTGCAAACATACCGCTGTGCCATTGGGGGGGAAGGGGGCAGATACCAAACAACAAATGCCTGTTATTTTAAAATGCAACTGTGAAAATACTTCTAATAATATTCTTGAAATATTATTAAATTCCTTAGTCATTTAATTAAATCTAAATAATGTTTTGTACAATTATGTTTGCAATTGTACCTTGCAGTAAAAGATATGATACAGGAAAATCTAGAACACTTAAGGCTTTTTCCTAGTTAGAGAGCTATTTCAGCTCAACATTGATTTACCTGAGTCCAAGCATAAGTAACTACATGAAATAAATATTAATTAGAAATAGTAGAAAAAATAAATATTTTATTTTTTATGAAATTACATACTTTTAGAAATGTCTTTGTCAAAGTTCTAACAATTTTCATCTGCTAGTTATATTTTTGTAAAGAACTTTCATGAGAGTTATGTAACCTACTTACAATTTTAGTAGTTCATCATCATAGGATTAAGACTTTCAAAATCAATAGCGAGTGCTGAAAAAGCACTTAAATCATAAGTATCATTATTGTAAGTCAGGGTGTTTTAATAATCATAAAAAGTAGAATTTATTGTTCTCAGTTCTTCTTGTGGCAAATTTCTTTCTGTGTGTATTTTTGAATATCAAATTCTAATTTAACTAAACCAATATTCTACATACAAATTAAAAGAAAAATAATAATATACATACCTGTCATCATCATCTCCATCCAGACCATTTTCCACTTCAATGTCTGGAACAAGAAAATACTGAAGTGGGTTGGGAAACATGTCATCTTTTATCACCTGTAGAGCAAAAATCTTATAAAATTATTTCTGCAGTGCATTGAGTCAAACAGAAATAGCAATTACAATTTACTTATTTATTTTTTTAGGTGAAACAAAACCCTGACATGAATTAAAACTCATTAAATATCACTATAACACAATATTATTAATATATTAGGTGCCAAGCCCTTTTCTTGTAATTACTTGCATATAACCAAATGTGTATCTCAAAACGTGAATGGTATTAAAATGCTTATTCCTATACCAAAACACTTATTTTATAAGTCTGATATTGTTATTTTTAGCTTTTTTTTAGTTAATTACCAGTGGGTCATGTGGCTCCAGATGATGAAAGTATAAGCTACAATCCATACAACTCACTGGTGTAAATATATCTCAACAGTTGGTACAATCACCACTTCTGACTGACAATAAGCAATATGACTGAAAATTCTGGCATCACTGTATCATCAAGCTAATGGAAAGGAAATACACTGTACATACGTGCTGGAATTGTGCTTTGCTGCACATGGTAACTAGGCTTAAAGCATAACCATATGTATTGTTACTTATATATTTTGATGAGAGCTTTTACTCCTCATTTTGTTTTTATCAAACATACATATTTTTTCCAACTATTGCAGAGCTAATAGAGATGTCACCTAAATGAAGCTACATGAGTGAAGAAGTTTGGATGTTATCAGATGATTTTCTAATGATTTTAAAGACAGCAATGATATCATCCAAGATGCTGACTATGAGCAGTCTTCTATTTCCACTTCATCTACATTGCAATCTACATTTAGGTCATCTGACACAAATGTTGCTAGCAACAGTGAAGATCCTAATAATTCAGTGACCGACAGAGCTGGAAACTGGAAATCAGCTAATGATCTTTGCAAATTTTATTTCACTTTTTTTTTTTTAGTATAAAGCTAATGTAAGAGAAAAAATTACTTAATGAAACCTGTACTTCTTTAAATGCATACTGCTTACTCGTAACTGATGATATCACAACCTTCATGACTAATGAAAGAAATAGGAATGCTCTACAGTTTTGTATTTGAGTACTGTGTAACACTCAAACCACATATCCTACTAGGTGCCTACAATAATGCTAAAAATATAAAATGTTTTAATTTTTGATATTGATGGGTCTAATAAAATATCCATCAATTGGTAAGTACTGTACTAGAAGAAAACTGTATTGTAACAGCATTGCTTCAGGAATTCTGCTCAGAAATATATCTGAATTGTTCTTGAAACTGTTGAACTTTGCCAACAATGAGGATTCACAGGAGACCACCTACACAAAGTTAGAAATCTCAACAAAGTTTTTGTCAAATGCTTCTAAATAGTCAAAAAACTTGGGTCTGTTGTAGAGGTCAACAAAACAATGATTCCAACTCGAATATACCTCAAATTTGTAATGGCTCCAATTTATAGTCAAGTTATTTACAGTTTGCAGTCCTGATGGGTACACCTATGGGATTTCTATTTATGAAGGTAAATCTGTAAGATATAGACAAAACTACGTAGTCTATCCAGTCCTTCATTTTAATAAATACAAGGACAGCAATAAATTCCTCTCCCAAAATTACCAAGGAAAGCAAACTGCTCTCCTCAAAACAAAAAACACAAGGAATAAAAAAACTAGAACTCTAAAACGAGTTTACATTGGAACTGTTCAGGAACTGTTTATTTTGTGCTGTAATTCTAATTAAAAAATCATTTACAAGACCTCTAACAGATTTGGAATCATGTTATATTTTATCATAATAATATGCATACATAAACTTTAAGCTGAGATTATTTAAAATAAGTCTTCTGAATAATCCAAATTATCAGTGATGGCCTCATCCTCACTGGCATTAAGCAAGCATGAGTCACTTTCAGAATCCATCTCTGGTTCTGAGCTACTAGACTCAGTGTCTTGCTGAGCAGCACTAGCTGCTGTGTCTCCAGCCTGATTTTCTTTGGAACAGTATCACAGCCCTAGGTGGATTCCTGCATCTGCAGCTTGGATACCATAAAATTGTTCAGTGCAGCTTCGATATTTTGTCATGTTTGCCTCTAACTAAATTTGATGGTTGGCTTTGATTACAAGGAGGTCCTCCATTGCAATGTGGCTGAATGAAAGTCTATGATCCAAAACATGGCTGTCATGATGCTGAAACCAAACTCAATTGTGTTGTTACTTACACTAGTTGTCAAATTCAGACGCTACATCCAGTTGGCTGGGTTTACTAAAAACATGTTTTATACAGGGTATTGCAAAAGGAGCTGAATCACTCATAAAGGACTGGATTATACTTGAAACCACATTCAGTCTGAGCATGTCTGATTTGTCAGTATCAGCTGTAATAGTGCCACCAGGAGGAGGTGCTACAGGAGTCATTCTGTCCAAATTGGCTGATGTGAACTCCCTGTTTTCTACACTTCTTCTCATGCAGCCCTCTTTGGGAAGATTACAAGATATCTTGTTGCCATTGATGGTGTACCCTGCTTTCATCATGAGGGAGTCACAGTCTTCAAGTAGGCCCTGCATTCTCATCTTTGTCAATTCAATGGCTGGCACCCCCTCGAAAGCACGAAGTTCTCCTCTCTTAAACTTCAGTGACAGAGAGGAGACTATGTTCAGGATCTCATAAAGTAGACAGCTGTTAGCAAGAAACTGGAAACTTCTCAGTTTTTCAGGATACCATTCAGCTTGGAGTTTAGTTTGCCATGCATGTGGTGTGCAATGGAATTCTCAATTGCCTGAGCATGGGGGATCCAGTTTATCAACAGGATGCAAACACCCTTTCTTTGGTGGCCTACAAAGCACATCCCATAGATCTTTGGGAACTTGTATATCTGACATTCCTGTGCCTTTGGTTATTTCTTCAAAGTGTTTCTTGAATTTCCCAGATCTCTTCATCAGACAGTAGAGGGTAATCATTAGATCCTTCACTTGGTCAAAAGCTTCTTCCTTCATCAGGATGTACTTGTGTTCTTTACCACCAGTTCCAAATAGTATGAGACACTGTTGAATAAAAATAAGTCAGGGGCACTCAGGTTTCTGCAGTCTCACCAAAAGGCCATTCACTGTAGATTCCTGCAAAAAATATATATTTAACTTTTAAAAACTGATCAAACAAGTTGTTTGTGCAATGTGATACTCTAGCACATGAGGTTGCAGAAAAGGAAGGCTATTGACAATAATGCTCCATGGCAGTAGCCTGTAACTGTCAGACAGCCTCTTTAAATAAATTAGATTTTCAGAAAACAAACAATTTATATGATATTTTGTCAGATAGATCTGAGAAGTCAAGCTTTTGAGGTTTTTCAAAATAACATTGACCATACCAACTCCTCTTGATTTGGTATTTAAGACTACATGGTACCCTCACCCAGAATTAGATGCATCACCCTGCACCTGAACCATAATAATTTCCACAAAGGTTTTCTGCCATAATAAACTTTACCTAAGCTTTTAAGCTTATAATTTGTTGATTTTGTAATCAAGTAATTACCAATAATGTATAGGGACTTTAAACTTATTCATCACTTTTTAAAATTTATTATATTTTTTTTATATATAAATTTTCATTTTAGTGAAAATTAAAAGACCACTAGAACTATGCTCATTATATCAACTGTATTCACTGATGCTCCATCTGCAGTAGTTGACAACAAAGCTTTGTTATACTGACCATGGGGGATCTTCAACTTGTTTTTAAGAGCATTGTCTATTGACTTGTCAATATTTTCTGCAGTTGCATCCCCATAACTGTCCATGTTTTCCGATGCAGCACCAAAGAACACAGGACATCCAGTATTTACAACCCTAACCATGACCAGCTCATTCTCACTTGCAGTTTTTTTTACTGCAATCCATCACTGAGCACAGAAAATGAAGAAGAAGAGCACAATAATGGATGGCATTCGTAATTTCATGAACAAATTATCTAGCTCTGTTACTGCTCTCTGTTTCTTGGGTTAGCTTGATTCCATTTGCTTTCTGTACCCTCCCAAGAGTTTTGAAAGTGTACAATGGTAATCCATCAATAGCCATGAGGTAGGCAGTTCTCAGCAATTTTCTGTAGCCATGCTCTGCTTGATTGCATACGACAACAGCAAAGATGAGCTGGGTACATTTGGCAGGAGTAGCACATGCACCAGAGGCCTTATCCCCATCTCCAACACCAAGTAACTTCAAATTTAAAAAGAGGTTTATTTCAATCAGTGTTGATTTCATTTTCATGTAGATCCACTGTTCAAAGAATGATTCAAACACAATGTTTGAAGAATCCACCATTATTCAGCTAATTAAAAACAGCAAAAAATAAACATAACATTGAAATGTGTATTAGTTTTATTAAAATATAGCTAAAATAAAATTAACGATAATAAGAAATTAAACTATAATTGTAAGTGTATGATTTTTTGTGTTACTGCATAGCTACAATACCTGTTTGCTTTTGAGAGGTAGGTTTAAGAAAGAAAACAAGTGGACCCAAAGTCAAGTGATACCTTAATATTTTGTTTCTTGCAGATAACAGCAAAACAATTTCCAACTAGAAAATTTAGCATAAATCCAAAAGTTCACTGATAGTTAATTTTAGTTCAACCACTAAAATATATTTGATAATTTTTCTAATCAGATAATTGGGATGTGTTTTTTAACTTCCTAAAATTCACTTTGAAGTTTTTAATAATATAGTCATTCAAATAATAAATTTATTTTCATAAATGAAAAATTAATTTTTTTCTCTGTTTGAAAATGGTTGCACCAGGAACCAATTGTTTTGAATTTTTACAGGGTAATGTCTTTTTTTTTTGAAGATCCATAGCAATTAAATTCTTTAGTCAGCATATAGGAGTGAAAAACAAATCACCAATATGAACCAAGATTTTTTAAGCTTACTTAATTCTCTGAATATTTGTATCTGGTCAAACTGGTGGTGGAGCAACTTTTCATTTTTTCAAGCGACAACTTTGGAGTGAGTACCTGGTGATTTATTTTTTAATACTTA